TGAATTATAAATATCTACTTTTTTTATATTTCTGTAAAATTTTGGGTTTGGGAAATGGTCAATTCGTCATATTTGGTGTTCCGAAAATTGACAAAAATAATGGGTTTTGTATTATATCTGATGGTGTTTGACTAAATTTGAGACGAGTATTCAATTGCAAATGTTTACTCATTTTCCATAATGGGTTCAGCTTAAAACTTAGGCCCCCTTCCGCCGTTAAAAGGTGGCCAAACCTTTTCTGAAACCTTTCTCCTTATGATTCCCCTATCCTATATATGGGTCAATTTTTCAAAATTGTTGGGTTTTGTGAAAAGGTTCGGGTTAAAAGCAAAAAAAAAAATTCATCGTCTATTCCAAAAATCCATACCCTCTCGATAAACCCCACCGCAACCCCAACCCTAACTTATACCTTCTGGGGTAAATATTAAAATTCCCGAAAGATTCGTGAAATGGGTATTCTGGAACAATCATCTCACCTTCCAAGAATCCCCGAGGGACATTCTGAAAATGTTCAAAAATTGTAAAAAAGATACCCCCATATGGATCTTGAGAAAAAAATTTTCCCAGGCATTCAAAATGGTCATATTTTTATCGTTTGGCTCACTTGAATTCATGGTTAAATTTTCGTCGCCTGGGGAAAATTTTTGCTATAAAATCTTTAAATTTTTGTCATTTTTGTCAAATTTTAGTCAAAAAAGCGTAAAAAAAAATCGAACCTAAATTCTGGAATCGTTGTTAAAAATGCTCCATTATGGACCAATTTTGTCATATCCGTTTCAATAAAAGCATTAGAATCCAGGATTTAAGTTTCGAAAAATTTCGTTTTCCAATTTATACTTATTTTTGAGTTTGGGGCCTATTTTTCGCCAAAAAAGCCGCACATTCGTGCGGAAGCCATTCCAGATCCCAGACATAGACCCCGAAGTTAGCCTTATTTTTTTGTCTATATTTCAACATAGTATTCAGAATTTGTATGAGAATCCAAGGGTAAATTCTCACATAAAATAAACACCGATTTCATATTGATTTTAGGGTTTGAAGTTTGAGATTTTTGAAAATTTCCCCCCCAAAGACGCCTTTTGGTACCAACTGGCGAACCTCCTCAAATCTGGTGCCTTGCGGTATGGTCGAGTGGTTAGAGCCATTTCCTGAATACTTCAGGTCTCGGGTTCTAACCCCACCGGAGCACTTTTTTATCACTCACAGACCTCCTCAGGGACCCACCAAAAACCACACTCAGAACCCGATTTCTGACTTCTGACTCGGCCAAGACCCAAAGGGATCGGTTTGGTTGGAAAAAGTTTGCGCCTCCACAGGGAAATTTTTTTTCCTTTATATAAACATTATATTGAATATCATTACTTTCATGGGTCGGACGTTGTTCGTTTTTATTATCTTTATATGGAATTTTTGGTATTTCAATATTTCTTTTTTTCAAAAACATTTCGATACTGCACTGGGATGAATTATCATCTTTTTCGTTATCTTGAAATGGCATAGTATGGATGGGATTGATTGAGGGTGAATTATCGTTTTTGACGGGGGTGTCATTATGAAAACATTTTTGTTTGAGTGGGGTTTGCCATTTTTTTGGGGGGGTCATCTGATTGGGTGGTGAAAACGGTTTTGGTGAATTTGAATGGGGGGGGGTCATTGGCTGGTCTTGACC